TAATGTAGATAGATAAAAACAGCCTAAACTGGCACTTTAGCGAGCGCCTTGTTGTGAATAAAAGTTCCTCGCGATAGATACTATCAATATTGGGAATTGAGTCGGAATGTGTATAGGGAGTTTGGTCAGAGGGCAAGAAAACCAATGGTTTTAATAGGAAGGGTTGAATAATTGCAGGTGAGTAGAATTTAAACACAATGCTAGAATGTTGGGACACTAAGTTTTTAATTCTCTCATCACTATAGATGGGCTATTATGGACCAAAGGGGGCACACGTAATGTTCAGTACATTACTCAATATGTTCATAACGACTAATAAGATAACAGCTGAACTAACGAGCCCCCAAAAGCCTCTCGAATACATTCATGAAGTCCTTGTCCCCGAAACCTGTATAATGCTCATACAGGAAGATAAGGGCGGGATTTCTTATGACGCTGCGCAAACAATGATGAATGAGAGTAATGATTTTGGCTTACATATGTTCCCCGATGATGACTGATAAATAAGATACAGCTGTGATAATAAACCATTTTTATGTTTTTATTAAATAAATTGGCATTATATGGAATAACATAAAAAAACATTCTTAAGAAAAGTTAACGGTTAAACCATTTAATCTTAGGATTGTTAGTTAATCGATACGTTAGCTATTCTTGCAAGGTTACCATGCACGCGCAAAGATTATGATATACTCGTAACAATGGTACTTTGAAACTAATTACTCATGCAAAAATTCAGCCAAAGTTTCTCTTCTTACAGCCCGCATTTGTCATGCAAGCTAAAAGCCACAATATAGCTTCTGGACGTAACTATAACTAGCGAAACCAAATCAGGATTTAAGGCATACTAATATGGACCATAAGACGTAAAACACATACTATTATTATTATGTTCCATTATTCGTGTAATAAACAAGTAATTATTGGTCAGCCCTCGACAAGTCTAAACGAAAGGCATTCGTACATTGCCACCCCATATTAATATGAATACTACTAACCTTACTAAACAACGATGCAATGTTAAAGACAATGGTGTAATTTGCGTAATATACTGCAGCAGCTAGTTGTGACATTTAACGATGGCACTTGATTTTATTTGTGCATTGTATATTATGTAATATCAATAAAATATATTAGTCGAATGAATTTATAACGAAAATATATGACCGCTTAAAAACATTTCCGTTAAATGCACGGACTATTTTTTATAATTTTTATGCTTTAGAAAACAAAACTTATAAGTTGATAGTCTGGTAAATGTTCGTGTGAGTCATCACACCAGTGACAATCTAGTACATAACATTCGAAATATTCCGTGCTTTCATGAATAAAAAAAATGCACCTGGGTACTAGTCTTTAAAAGTCCAATTGATAAGTTGACATACATTAATCTGTGCGTACACCAAAACTTAAATTACACCCCCTGGTATACGTTAAGGAGACCAAATACAATATACAGTGTGTTAAAAAAATTAGCCTCTGCTTTTTTTGCAATAACTTCATAGAAACTGTTTCAAATTTAACATTAAATGGCGTGTTTGAAAGCTACAAAGCAAGGTTTTTATTGGTATAAAAAACATATTTTATAATAATTAATTCGTTTACCATTACTTGCTGACAACGGTCGCGTCAAAAATTCATCGGGAATATTTTCCCAATTCTCCACCATATATTGCTGTAGTTCAGAAATATTACTTGGCATACGTTTTTCAACACAATATTTAACAATTTCCCACAGATTTTCAATAGAATTACTATTAGAAAGCCAGTCCATAACCTCGGGGAAGTTTTCTTTTAAAAACTCCCTGGCTACCCGGCTTGTATGCTTCGGGTCATTATCCTGTTGAAATCTCCATCTTCTTCCAAGCATTCTCCTGATTTCTGGACGATGTTCTTCCAAAATTTCTGTGTAAAGTCTTGCATCCATGATGCCTGTAAACTGGTTTTGTCCTTGGCACAAAACCCACCCCAGGCGAAAACTTTTTGGCAATTTTTAAAAAGAGGCCGTGGTCTAGAACATTTATTATTATACCAAACTGATATTGTATTTTCTGAACAGTTGGAAAGCTGTTTCATTCGAAAATAAGGTCCTCTCCCATTGAGCGTTTAAGTGGTTTGTGGCCCATGCAACTCGATTTGCCTTTTGGTCAGCTGTTAGCATTGGTGTGCCATTTGGAAGGCCACTTTTATAACCAAGCTCTCTTAAACGTGTTCCAACTGTTACATGTGATACTTCAACTCCATCCCCAGAAAGTTTGGTGGCCAAGGTTCGCAAGGATAGGGTATTATCTTTACGAATGTATTGCTTAAGCTCACGCAATTTATTGGACTCTATTTTCTTGTGACGTCCATTACCTTGCCTATGCAAAACATTGCCAGTTTTTTTTAATTTTTGAATATTCTACTTAATTGTTGAAAGGGAAATGCCAGTAATTTTGTGGAGTTCTGTTTGAGATCGGACTCCATTATTCCAAAAATGCATAAGTGTTTAGCATTGAGAATTAAGCTTGTTTTCAGTCATCTTTAAAGGGCAAAGAATAAAGTTTAAGAGCTCAAAATTGAAACCAAATGCAAATATTAGTATTTGTTTTTGTTTTCAAAAAGGACCAGACGCGTTTATTTTACTCAATATGGTAAGGACGCACTTTAAATTTCACATGTCTAGAGGCCAATTTTTTTCTTAACACACTGTATATTGCCAAGATTTTGATTTTAGACGTTCCAGGATTTCTTCTTTAATCCATATGGAGCCCCAATCAATGGTATATCCTGTAAAATCTTGATTTGGGAATCAGTGAATTAACCGGCTGCTATATTTCACAGACTCAGCATTTTCCTGAAAACAATATATCAACTTTGATACATCAGAAACCTCATTGATGGCCTCCCTGATGCGTTTCGAAGCTTGATTGACCACTTTCTTCAACTTGACCTCTTGGCTGGTTTCTCCTACAAGCTTTACAAGCTCAGTCTTTACAATTTGTAATGTATAACGTGGTATCCCTCCTACTCTTTCGAAGACAGCCGTTACAAAGTTTGAATCAGGGATCGAAGTGGTGTAGATCTTGGCATGACAATCCCTCAATTCTTCCAATGACCAAGGAGGCATATAGTATGTCGTGTTGGGCTTTTTTGCAAATTCCTGAAAGTCCTCAGCCTTGAGTCCTTTTGGTGATAATGATATTAACGTTTGTGCCCAGACTTCTTTTGGATTGGTGAGACCATCCGCGAAGTACCAGACGTCAGGATGGTTGAGGAAAGGTTCGAAATCATCGAAATTTCCTTCACGATAAAACGTAGTCCCCGCAAAGCAGCATAACTTAGTTTGGTTTTTAGGCTGAAAAAAAGATGACATGGCCCTCGCACATTAGCTTGATGGCAAGATAGACTAAGAAACAGGATTTTTCGATTCCGGAAGTCCCAGAAAGAATGTGACATATTTGTATGTCTGTCAGTTTCAACAATCCTGTGATGTGGTGTATTTCATTTTCGATTTTGACATAAGTCTCTCGCACATAAAGGTTGGGCGTATTCACTACTGCAAGAGAAGAGTTGCTTGGTTGGTGAATTATTTCTTTCATTTGTGGAAATGGTGCATTACGTTTGTGGAGATCTTGTGCTGTGTTAAACATTGCCTCGAATACATTTGTATTCTCGACTGGAAAACCGTAATATGGAATTACTTTGATTAAATCCGTAATGTTGATGGAGGAGATTTGAAAGGAGCCTTCAGGTGGAATATTGTATTTTTCAATCAATTTTTCAGTTTCGAGAGCCTTCTGCAGACTGATCGGAGTTTGCTGGTTATTTTGCACAATAGCTGAAAATAAGAAAAGTGTGAATAAAAAAACGAGAAAAGAGCAGATGAAGAACAGATGATGAGGTGACGCTCCCTCGCGAAAAAATGGCATGAAATTACATACTAATACCTTGAGGAGCGGCTGTTGTTGTACATAGCAGAGACGAAATGGATTGATGGATGGATGGACACAAAGGAAAGGAAAAGTAGATAGTTAGTTGGTAAAACAAGTCGAAAACATGGATGCAGGAGAAGATAGGACAGGATGATGGTAATGAATGATCAAAAAAAAAGGTGAGGGGAAAGTGGCGCATAAAGGAAAAGAAAGTGATGGTGTATGGGATGGATGGATGGTAAAAAAGGTTATCTTACCTTGGCTGGCCGGGGATTCCATGATAACGTGGATGTACCTTGGAGTCAGCTCATTGGGCCAGTAATCTGCAATAATATTGTGCGAGTCTAGAAATACGCCACCAAGTTCGCTTGCGATATCAACAACTTGGAACTCTTTGTGGATGCTTTGAAGTTTTTGATCCTTCTCATCATTGGGAGCGATCTCGACTTTCCAAATCGTGATGAGTTTGGCTTCAATATTTTTAAACGTATTCAGATTTTCCTCTTGAATCATCTTTTTGAGTCTGAAGATTGTCATATTCACATTAATGTCAATAGTAAAGACGTTGTCAGGAGATTCCCCCAGGATAGGAAGACTAGCATTTTGAGTAGTCTCTAATTGTTCTACTTTGGTAAGATATCCTTTTTCAGTATCAGTCAGGGGAGTTTCTAGTTTACCCTGATTGTCTAAATCAGTTAAGAAATAAATCAAAGTTCTAATGGCAATTGTTTCTTGATAAGTAATAATTTCTTGATTAGATGGATCAGTTAATTTATCTCCTAAATGTTTAAGTTGAGTTCTCAAATGATCAATCCTTCCACTTTCAAGAGCTTTGATTTTGCCTAAAATGTCATTCAATTTTTGTTCTTTGTCAGCTTTTTGAAGACTAATTTTAGTTAATTCACTCCTTTTTTTTCCTAATTCCGCATGAATACTTTCTAAGCCTACTCATTTATCAGCTGTGATAGTTTTTCATTCATCTCACATATTGGCTATTTCATCAGTAACATTTTCATCACTAGATCTTAGAATTATCGACTTAATTTGAGTAGTATCAAATTCAGTCTTTCTAGCTTCCAATTCCTCAAAAGTCAATCCTTTTGCATCAGCTCTGAATTTAGCAAGGGATCCCATGACTCTATGCATTATTTTATCAGCAATACTTTCTCACTCTTTTCTAAATTCTTCAACATTAATTAAAGGATCTCCTGTTGGGCCTTTTTGTTTTATGATTAAATTCTTAACATGTTCTCTATAATTATTAGCATATAGAAAACCTAATCCCCTATGAGTACCACGGGTAAAAGGAGAAATAATTGAGGTTGTGTTTTCAGAAAGTAACTTCTTCTCATAAACAGTTATTTTTTCCTCTCTAATTTTTTCTCTTCCAACTAAATCCTTGGCAATAAGCACTCCAATTTTTAGCATCATCACTATTATAAACTTGCCAAAAGAATTCCGGGATTTGACCATTAGCCCAAGTTAAATGTTTTTCTTCAACATCAAAAGGAGCTTTAAGAATATTTGCACTAACATCAACATACAGTACCTTGTCCCAATAATACTGGCATCTGCTCCTCGTCAATACATCGTATAAGACTTATCTAAACTATAGCCATTCTTAAAAGGCAAACAACTCTTTTGACCTTTTTTTATGAAAGGACTATCTTGGTAGTTGCTATCTTTTACTTTAGGAAAGAGAGCATGCATTATATAAAAAAGATCACTAATAAACACTTTATTTTTGCTACTGCCATTTTCTTCATTTTCTTCTTTTTTTAAAACATTAAAATAACTAATAATTTGCTTATTAAGATTATTTCTAAATTCAACATTTCAGTTTATAACTCTCTCAAAAGCACCTTTAAAATTTTTCTTATCATCATTACTCCATGAACATTCAGAAGAAGAAACATATTCAAAAAGTTTATCTTTATCAATATCTTTAAGAATCGTTCAAATTTGACCTGGTAAATCATCTGTTAGATAAATTGTATGGGTTAAGGGTTTATTACTCCCATTATAACCAGTCTGGGTAATTGATCCATAAGTAGTATCAGTTCGTAAAACAGTACTATACATAACTTTTGAATAATTTCTATTACAATTGAATATATGTTCTAAAAACTTATAACCAACATTATCAGGCTTTAGATCATCTATCAATTTAGTGACAAGGATATCAATCTTATTTTCTAAATCAGTTTGTTCTTGAAGAACTTGAGGATTATACTTTTTCTCTAACTCAGCAATTTCTTTTACAACTTTTTCTTCTTCTTCTGATATCTTAGCAAAAGTAAGTGTTGATTCTTTCAAATTTACATCTAAACTTTTATTGTTTTTTCTAAATAAAACCTTCTGGTAATTTTTTACCATCTCACCCACTCAATCTTCTCCGTTTTTAATAGTGTTAATTAATTGATAAGAAATAGAATTATTTCTTCTTTGCTCCATTAAAGCAATTAACAATTGATTACCATTATTACTAAGAATATCATTACTTTGCTCAGTTTTTAAACTAGCCTCTGCTTTTTTACAATGGTTTAATAACTGAGCAGTATCTTGAAGGAGTGTTTTATCCAAAGTGCCGTTTGGTTTTAAAAGATTACTATCAAAGATAGCCTTTTCTTCAGGTTTAAGGACTCCTCCATGATAATTGGAGTATCCTTTTGCCTCATCTATTGTATTTATATCATCTTTTTTGAATGTCATGATTTTAATTCCTATATTATAATTTTAATATTAATATCATTAAAAGATTAAATATAAAGAATTTAAACACACAAAAATAATAAAATTTTGCAGTTGACTGAAATATTTTTATTCATTATCAGTATAAATTGGTTGTGGGCAAGTAATATCTTTGAATTCATTTCTAACAAATGGGCGAATATTATGATAAAGATATTCTTGTCGTTTATAATCCAAAGGAGGCGGAGTTAGAACTAAAATAGAAAAAGATTTAATTTCTTTGGTAATTTCAGAAACACTTGTTTTTCTGGTTTTCAATAAATTAAATTCGGTATATGAACCATTAGCAACCAGCTGAGCTTTGACAATACCAGGCTTAGCTGCTTCAAATAGAAAATGCTGATATTTTTGTAACCCACTCAATTTTTTTAAAAAAATTCCCAATACGGAATTAATATCTAAGTATTGAAAGCCTTTCCCATTGTCATAATGTTGTGCTTTGTTTAATCCCACTATACTTAATATTAATTTTTTCACAACCTCAACAATATGATCCACACAATCTACTGTTTTTTTTTTCTATAGTAATAGAATTTTTAATTAGTCTAAAACTACCATCACACTTGAATTTAGTATGTCCATGTACCATGGAATTTAATTTGATACTTTCATAATAACTGCAATTTACTAAATACAGATAAAACCAAAGGGTAGCATTATTTATTCTGTCCTCCTGCATTATCACAAGTGATTTTTACCTTTATTCAATTTCTTTATTCCATCAAATATCAAATCCCAGCCTCAGTGTGCCATTATGACCTTTCAGTAATTGTGTCTTTATTGAGAATATATTAATCTGTTCACATACTGCTTCATCATAGAATACCAAATAAATGTACTTCACGCGGACTAAGATAATAAATTTTACTTGCCTGTTGATCAGGATAAGGCACATGAACGTTTTGCACTCAGTATCCGTTATAGGCTTTATCTAATAAAATCTGGTATATTTATATTGAGAGAGATTTATTAGTGTTGAATTTGTTCCATGAAAAATCTCCATACTAAATATCCATTATATTGAGTTTCACTGTGTATTGCGATCTCAATAATAAAAAAATCTCTTATTAGTACGTGTTTCCTTTTAAGATGTCAGCTGGCAGTTATTATTATTTCGTTGTGCTTAGTTGGGCCATTAAAAATATGTCTTTAGTACTAGAAAGTGCGCGAAACGCCTCACATAATTCAGCAAACTTTTCCCTTGGAATCTTTTTTGAACAACTAAAATCGCAACCTATCTCCAGGAAACGTATTTGAAATATATACACTCACTACCAAAATTCGAAAACATACTACAGTCTATTGCCGATAATTCGACCCCCCATAATTCGATCTTTTCGGTAATTCGATCGCCTTGAGTGAGACCCGATTTTTTCATATAATTTTTCTTCCTTTAATTCGATCGAACTTAAAAAATTTCGATTACTCGTTAATTCGACCGCTTAAATAATTTCTATTCAGCCAATACGTATAAATAATATTACAATTACGTTCGTTAATTTGACCATGGTCAATTATTTCCATTTAAGGGTTAATTGATTAGCTTTCTCCGATTATTCGACCGGCTGTATTAATTTTGTGATAAAAATTTCGATTATCCGACCGGGACTAATTTATAATAAAATTCTGATTCTTTATTCCATCATATGTTGGTTTCCATCCAAAAATGCCTCGATCGAAAAAAAACACCTCATGTTACGTTGAGTGCCGAACAGAAGCAGGAGATATGTCAGCGAAAAGCTGAAAACCCTCAATTATCCAAGTTGGAATTGGCTATAGAATATTGTACAGAAAAACAACCATTCAGAATATTATAGCTCGATCAGAAAAATGGATAATATCGATATTAATGAACCTTATGCTAAAACTGAAGGCCAAATGGCAAACGTTGGAAGAGGCCTTATCATTATGGACGTCGACTGTTATAGAGAATGGCTATGCTCTCACCGGTGACGCCATACTCGCTAAATCTCGCGACTATGCGAAACGTTTAGAAATTAATGACTTAAAAGAAACAAACGGGTGGTTATCTAAGTTTAAGAAACGTTATGGACTGAGAGGCTGGCAGTGTATCGTGTGGGAATTATTTGGAGACTGAGAGAGAAAAACTTCGTACGGAATTAGACGAGTACAGTATGGATAACATATATAATGCAGATAAAACCGGCTTATACTGGGTGATGGAGCCTTGTCGAGTTCTGACTGATTATAGGGTTAGTGGAAGAAAAAAAGAATAAAAGTAAATTTTCAATACTCTTAACAACAAACGCCTCAGGAACAGATAAATTGCCACCATTGTTAATTTACAAATACCGTACACTGCGTCCTCTGGGTGAGAACTATAAATAAAGCACATCTTCCGATCCAGTATTACTGGATTCTAAAGCTCATATGCAGGTAATATGTTGCGTGAATCCATCTATAGCAATTAAATAAATATATGTATGGAACCAGTTATGTAATTATCTTGCATAATTAGGTGTCCGTATTCAACGCATGGCTCAAGTGGTTTGACAAAAAATTACGCGGTGTAAGTCGAACTATCATTCTCTTATTAGGCAACGCCTCGGTGCATAAAATTTTCTCTGGAAACGAACCAATATTAAGATCAGATTCTTACCACCCAATACGACATCTGCACTCCAACCGTGTGACGCTGGTATAATACATAGTTTCAAATCTCAATATCGAAAGCTTCTTGTGCGCCATAAGTTACAATTGCTTGAAGAACGTTTGGAAAACTGCGATAATTTGAGGAATATAACATAAAACATGCGATTTATAACGTATTCGACGCATGGAATAATGTCGATAGAAACACAATTAGGAACTGTTGGCTTTCTTCCGACATCGTATCATACTACAATCATAAACCGGGGCAGCAGAAGAGTTGGCAGGAGAGACAAACGAGCAAAGTACGATAATTCAGGAACTAATTAATCGAATGAATTTGCCTGACCCATTGGATGCTAGTGGTAATGTTAA